GAGGTTCCTTACATAGTCTGGATATTTAATCCTTTTTGTTGATTTTAGACATTTCAAATATGTTTTCCCCATTCAGTCATTGGTCTTTCAACTTTTTCCATCTTACTCTTCACTGAACAGAAATTGTTAAATTAATAAAATTAAAGTATACTTACCTCATGAAGTTATCATTAACTTTAAATATGATAATGTATGTAAAACTCTTGGCTGCAGTACCAGGTACAAAGTTAAGAACTCAATAAGTAAATCTCAGATATTATTAAGTGTTATGGTTGTATTCGTTTGACACTATCTATGCCAGAAGATTTGCAACTCTCTTTTGCTCCCATGACACCCTATATGTATTTGTTTTGTAGCACCTGTTGTATTGTCCCCCGTGGTAGTCATATTGAATTCTTTCAGGCCAAGGACATCAAAAGCCTTTTATTCCAATGACCTAAGACAATGCTAAAAGGTGCTTAATATGTGTTAGCTAAGTAAATATATAAATAAATGATTTTCCAAAGAAATTTAATTAATGAAAACTACTAAATAAGGAAAAGAATAACTCTAGAAACCATAAAAAAAATTAGGTTAAAAGATGAAATAGGAGAAAATATTTGCAAAAGACACATCTGGTGAAAGACTTATCTAAAGTATACAAAGAACACTTAAAAGTCAACAATAAGAAAACAAGCTGATTAATAAGTAAGCAAAAGAACATACACCTCACCAAATATGTACAGATGGTAGATAAGCATATGAAAAGATGTTCAACATCATATGTCATTAGAGAATTGCAAATTAAAACAACAATGAGATACTACTGCATACCTGTTGAATGGCCAAAATCCTAAACATTGAAAACACCAAATGCTGGTGAGGATTGGGAGCAACAGCAACTCTTATTCATTGCTGGTAGGAATGCAAAATACTATAGCCACTTTGAAAGACAGTTTGACGGTTTCTCACAAAACTAAACATTTTACTATACAATCTAGGGGTCATGCTCCTTGATTTTTACCCCAATGAACTTATGAAACTAATGAACATAAGAAAACTTATGTCCACATGAAACCTGTACATGAATATTTAGAACAACTTATTCATAATTGCCAAGAGTTGGAAGCAACCAAGATGTCCCTCAATAGGTAAATGGATAAACTGTGGTACATCCAGACAATGAAATATTATTCAGTGCTAAAAAGAAATGAACTATTAAGCCATGAAAAAACATGGACAAGCCTTAAATGCTTAATAAGTAAAAAAAGCCAATTTGAAAAGGGTACATATTGTATGGTTCTAACTGTATGACAGTCTGGAAAAGTCAAAGCTGTGGAGACAGTAATAAGATCAATGGTTGCCAAGAGTTAGGAGAAAGGGGAGGGAAAATAGGCAGAGCACAAAGGGGTTTTAGAGCAGTGAAACAATTATATATGATACTACAATACACATCATTATCCATTTGTCTAAACCCATAGAATGTATAACAGCAAGAGTGAACCCTAATGTAAATTGTGGACTTTGGGTTATTATGATCTGTTAGTGTAGGTTCATAGACTGTAACTAATCTCCCACTGTGATGAGGAATGTTGATAGTGAGGGAGGTTGTATGTGTGACAGGGGAGGAGGGCATATGGTAACTCTATACTTTCTGCTCAGTTTTTCTGTGAACATAAAACTGCTCTAGAAATAAAGTCTATTTTCTAAAATGAAATAACATCAATAAAAAGTATAGGTCATGTTATTCTCACACAAGAATAGACAATTAGCAAGGACCAAATTCAGGGAATTAATCTTAAAAAAGTGACATGGTATATTGAAGAAGGCAAAACAAGGCAATTATTAGTAAGAAAAAGTGGGGACATTTTAAAAGATGACTCTGTATAATATATAATTTTATTTTGACTAAGTGTTTTGTTAACCCCTAAAAAATAGTTTTAAACATAGCTGTTAACAAATAGCAAAATGAATGGATTGTAATTGCCGATAAACAGAGCAATTGTATGGGGCAGTCAGCCCAAGGGAGGAGAAAAGTTAAAGGGCATGGATCACCCTAAGCACATAATCATTACCGAGACCTTTAGTGTTGGCTATATATCAACACTTGACAGATTCATCAACTACTGGGAAATTCTCTGAGACTAATAAAATTTTTTAACAGATTAAAAACTTTACCCAGTAATGTTCCTGAATTTAGCCAAATTTCACAATTTTCCTGCAGAGTTATGCTCACCATTTTGTATAAACATTTTTTAACATATGTAGATAAATATCATTTATGCATAGGGAAACTAGGGGCTTAAATTTTAGTTTGATAGATTTACGTTAGCCATCAGAAAGAAATTCATGACCTTAACGTCTTTTTCAGGAAGTTGTAAACTACCCTCTCTGGAAGATTTTTGAGACTGCTGTAAAGACTGTATCCCTGTAATGGTTTTGGCAGTATGGTCTCTTCAGTAGTCACCTAAAATTATGTGATTCTGTGTGTATGTCTTAATCTCCCTATTTGTGCATTTGGTGCTCTCATTGTCTAAGGAGCATACCTAAAATGTGGAGCCCTTTCCAAAGCCCCCAAAACCAACAGTGATCAGTCTTGACTAGAAATGTTCTCAATTTCCTATTTGTTGAACTTCTAAGGTTGAACCTAACAATCTTACACATAATCACCATAAACTACTATTTATGGGGGCTAATGTCGAACACAGAACCCTAGACGCCCCCTCCAGGTCTCTTGAATCTGTTATGGCATAGGAGTTAAAAGGCAGCCACTAGCATAAGGACTGCATTGGCTTTGGTGTCAGCGGGATATTACTAGCTGTATCTCCTTTGACAAGTTATATAATTTTTCTAAGCTTTGGTTTTTCTCATATATATATATATATAATGAGAATAATAAAAATGCCTGTGCTGTGGTTTAAATGTGTCCCCCAAAGTTCATGGGTTGGAAACTTGATCCCCAATGTGGCAATATTGAGACCTCGAGCCTAATGGGACGTATTTGGATTATGGGGGCACCACCCTCATAAATGGATTAATGCTATTATTCCAGGAGTGGGTTCATTATCATGGGAGTAGCTTCCTTATATAAAACAAGGATGAGTTTAGCCCCTCTTGTTCTCTCTCTTGCCCTCTCTTTGCCCTTCTGCCATGGACAATGCAGCCAGAAGGCCCTTACCAGAAATGGCCCCTCAATCTTGGACTTTCCATCCTCCAGAATCATGAGCCAATACATTTCTATTCATTACAAATCACCCAGTCTGTGTTATTCTATTATAGTAGCACAAAACTAAGACAGCCTACTTTATTGAGTTATTATGGGCTTAAATGAGATAACACATATATACATGCTAAAGCCCTTAGCTCAGTGTCCGATACATAATGAGCACTTGATTAATGTTAGTTATTAATATTTCCTCTTTCCATCCCCTACCATCAGGCCCATTCCCTGTCTCTAGCAAGTTCAACATCTTGTTCTCTGCCTGCCCCAATAGCACATCACATTGCATGTCTATGGGGGCAAAAATTATTCTGGTAGTCTGACTTGTATCTGGACTATAAAATTTGCTTTAACTGGCTTCCTGAGTTCCACTTAGTTAATTAATAAAAACACTTATTTTCAATGTTCTTGTTTTTCCCACAACATTAAGGAATTCTTTGTAAAACTTATATTAGTATTCCTAAAATTTATATTAATGGAAATAGTAAACTAAATAGAGTTAAGATATATTTCACATGGTTAAACATCTCTTACTGTTGTAGCATATTCTGGCAAAAAAGTAAACAAAATTTTCATGAAAACTACATCTTTCATAGAATTTCTATTTATAACGTCAGTTCTGATGAAAAAGCCTAATCTTTTCATGTGTGATTTCAAAAGCTTTACTAATAAGAAATATTTTGTTTTGAATAGAGAAGTACCCATCAGTGAAAGATATCAGTTAATTTCTTTAGCTACAGCCTTATTGTTTCAATAAAATACAAAACAAAATTAGTTTTTAGGGGCATCATTGGGTATAGAGGTTTTAGAACACATTTAATCAAAATAAAATGCACTTTTACTCCTTTTGTGTCAGTACCACAAAATGAGTATGAATGAGTTGTTCCACACTTTATTTCTTTCTATAGTTATAGCTTTTTATCATTTGAGATCAAAGTCAATTTTTCAATAAGTAAAACAAATTCTAATATCCCCATGTGGCTCTCTCTTATTTTCTCTATTCCTTCTTCAAAGAAGATTTATAATTATTTCCAATAAAAAAAGCTAATGATCCAATTTTAAACAAGGCTCAAAGATTCAAAGGAAATTTTAGACATAATTGTTAGGGTGTAAAGTCCATGCACGGGGCAGAAAGAATTCTCAGATGGTGATTAGGATATACAGAAGTAAAAGTTTATTTGTTTTCCTGAGAAAGAAAAAGAGAAAGAGTGGACAGGACTCACAGAGGGAGGAAAGAAATGTTGGGCTATGAGGAAAGTTGCTTGTTTCTTTTAAAGGGTAAAAATGCGTCCTTTTTTCCTGTCTGTTTGAGAGACTGATAACAAAAGCAGTTGTGAAGCTGCTGTATTGGATTTTTCTGTTTCTCACATAGCAGAGTGATAGTTGAAATTAGTTTCTTTCTTCTTGACAATAGAAAGTATCTGGTACTGTCTCTTTTTAAGGAAGCAGGGGAAGCTCGCCATCCTACTATCCGCCCAGGTACTTCTTTTTTTTTATTTATTATTATTATTTTTTTTTGAGACAGAGTCTCACTTTGTTGTCCAGGCTAGAGTGAGTGCCGTAGCGTGAGCCTAGCTCACGGCAACCTCAAACTCCTGGGCTCAAGCAATCCTCCTGCCTCAGCCTCCCAAGTAGCTAGGACTACAGGCATGCGCCACCATGCCTGGCTAATTTTTTCTATATATATTAGTTGGCCAATTAACTTCTTTCTATTTATAGTAGAGAAGACGTCTCATTCTTGCTCAAGCTCCTTTGGAACTCCTGACCTGGAGCAATCCTCCCACCTTGGCCTCCCACAGTGCTAAGATTACAGGCACGAGCCACCGCACCCGGCCACGCCCAGGTACTTCTTTAAGGCTAAGAAAGAACTCGGAGATAAGTTAGGCCACAAGTGTTTTAATTAAACAAAGGGTAGTTGTGTTGTAAATTTATTTCTCTTACTTTCTGTTTGATAGCTTATTTTCCTGTTAGGTTATTTAGTAAGACCACCTTTGAATAATTACAAAAAGTTATCTAAAATTGACTTTGGACACCTTAGTGAAGACACAATTCAGGCAAGAGTAAGCACTTTCTGACTACTACATTCCAGGCATCACAGTGAGCCCCAGCAATAGGGAGCTGAATAGCATGGTTCTTAGTTGCAAGTGTTCATTCTGCCGGAAGGGAGGCAGAGAGCAGCCACTTGAGTGAGTAAGTGTGCAATGGGGTTATAGAGCAATAATGGAGGTATTTCTAAGTACTACTGGAGTTCAGAGAAATTGCTAATTCTAGTTAACCTCTCTAACCTGTTTCTCCATTTCTATAATGGAGACTAATATTAGTCCTATCTCACAGGGTCATTAAAGAGATTAAATGAAATAATAAATGTGAAATGTGTAGCACAGTGTCTGGCATATGATAAGTGCTCAATACATATAGCTGCTGTCACTTTTTTTTAGTATTGCTATAATTATTGTTATTAGAAGCCAGTGAAGGCATACTTAAGAAAATAATGGCTGAAAATCTCCTAAATCTGGAGAAAGATGATGCCATCTAGACACAGGAAGCTCAGGGATCATCAATCAAATTCAATCCAAAGAAAAAATCTCCAAGGCACATCATAATTAATTTAGCAAAAATCAAAGACAAAGGCAGAATACTCAATGTAGCAAGAGAAAAGAAATATATCATGTTCCACTGAGCACCAATACAATATACACTGGATTTCTCAGCAGTAACCCTACAGATCAGGAGACAGTGGGATGCTTGAAAGTGCTGAAGGAAAAAAACCTTCCAACTAAGAATAATGTACCTAGCAAAACTATCCTTCAAATAAGAAAGAAAAATAAAGAATTTCTCAGATAAACAAAACCTCAGGGAATTTATCAACACCAGACATGTCATACATATAAGAAATGCTAAAGAGAGTTCTTCAAACTGAAAGAAATGAACTCTAACATGTAACAAGAAAACATCTAAAAGTATTATACTCACTGGTAAAAGAAAGAAAACAGACAAATTCAGAATACTTTAATATTAACATTAGCTTAAGTAAACCACTTATATCTTAAGTATGAAGATTAAGAGACAAAACAATTAAAAACAATAATGACTACAACAATTGGTTAGGAGATAGGCAGTATAAAAGATGTAAATTTAAACATCAGTAAGTAAAAATGTGGAAAGGGGATCATGTTGAAGAATAGAGTTTGGTTTTATTACTTTTCTTTGGGATCGAAGTTAAGTTGCTATCAGTTTAAAATAACCTGTTATCAACCTAGCACTCTGGGTGCACCAAGGCAGGTGGATTGCTCAAGGTCAGGAGTTCAAAACCAGCTTGAGCAAGAGCGAGACCCCATCTCTACTATAAATAGAAAGAAATTAATTGGTCAACTAACATATATATAGAAAAAATTAGCCGGGCATGGTGGCACATGGCTGTAGTCTCAGCTACTCAGGAGGCTGAGACAGCAGGATTGCTTGAGTCCAGGAGTTTGAGGTTGCTGTGAGCTAGGCTGACGCCATGGCACTCACTCTAGCCTGGGCAACAAAGCAAGACTCTGTCTCAAAAAATAAAATAAAATAAAATAAAATAAAATAAATAAAATAACCTGTTATCATTATGAGATGTGTTTGTAAGCCTCGTGGTAACTACAAAGCAAAACCTATGGAATATGGTAAAAGCAGTACTAAGGGGGAAAGTTATAGCAATAAACACCTACCTCAAAAAGTGGAAAGACTTCAAATAAACAACCTAATCATGTACCTCAAATAACTGGAAAAACAAGAACAAAACAAACCCAAAATTAGTAGAAAGAAAGAAATAATAAAGATGAGAGCACAAATAAATCAATTGAGACTAAAAAAAATACAAAAGATCAACACAGTGAAAAGTTGGCTTTTTGAAAGATAAATAAAATGGATAAAACTTCAGCTACACTAAGAAAAAAAGACAATCCAAATAAATAACATAGGAAAGCAAAAAGGAAACATTACAACTGATACTGCAGAAATACAACGGATCATTGGACACTATTAGGAACAACTATGTACCAACACATTGGAATACTTAGAAGAAATGGATTGCTTCTTTGACACATACAACCTACCAACATTGAACCAGGATGAAATAGAAAACACGTACATACCAGTAACAGGTAATAAGATTGACACAGTAATAAAAAATCTCCCATCAAAAAAAAAGCCTAGGATCTGATTGGATTCACTACTGAATTCCACCAAGTATTTAGAGGAAAAGTAAAGCCAATTTGTAGTCAAACTCATCCAAAAAATTAAATAGGAAAAAATTCTTCAAAACTCATTTTATGAAGCCAGCATTACCTTAATACCAAAACCAGAGGGAAATAAAAGGAAAACTATAGGCCAACATCCCTGATGAACACAGATGCAAAATTTACCAAAAAAATCCTAGCACACTGAATTCAACAACACATTAAAAAGATCATCATGATCAAGCGGGATTTATCTCAGAGATGCAAAGATGGTTCAATATATGCAAAGAATAATCTTGATACATCACATTGAAAGAATCAAGAACAAAAGCCAAATAATTATTTCAATAGATGCTTAAAAAGCATTTGATGAAATTCAACATCACCTAACAATAAAACCTCTTTAGAAACTGGGTATAGAAGGAACATAACTCAACATGATAAAATCCATGTGTGACACATGGATTTTATCACAGCTAGTATTATAGGGAATAGGAAAAAACTAAAAGCCTTTCCTCTAATATCTGGAATAAGACAAGAATATCCACTTTAAGTATTTTTATTCAACATAGTACTGGAAGTCCTAGCCAGAACATTTAGGCAAGAAAAAGAAATAAAAGCCATCCAAATTGGAAAGGAAGAAATCAAATTAGCCTTGTCCACAGATGACATAAGTCTATATTTAGAAAAACCTAAAGATTCTACCAAAAACTTTTTACAACTAATAAACAAATTCAGTAAAGTTGAAGGATACAAAATGAACACACAAAAATCAGTAGCATTTCTATACACCAAGAAATCAAGAAAGTAATTTCATTTATAGGAGCTACAAAAATATATATAATATATAGGAGTAAATTTAACCTAACAAAGCTCTCTACAATGAAAACTATAAAACACTAATGAAAAAAATTAAAAAGGACACAAAAAATTGGAAAGATATCCATGCTCATTGATTGGAAGAATTAACATTGTTAAAATGTACATACTACCCAAAGCAATCTAAAGATTTCATGAAATCCCTATCAAAATATCAGTGATGGCCAGGTGCAATGGCTCATGCCTGTAGCACCAGCACTTTGGGAGGCTAAGGCAGGAAGATAGCTTGAGGTCAGGAGTGCAAGACCAGCTGAACAATATAACAAGTCCCTACATCTACAAAAAATAGAAAAATTAGCCAGGCCTGTTGGTACACACCTGTAGTCCTAGCTACTTGGGAGGTTGAGCCAGGAGGATCGCTTAAGCCAGGAATTTGAGGTTGCAGTGAGCTATGATCATGCCACTGCCCTGATGCAAGACCCTGTCTCCTAAAAAACAGCAACAACAATCACATTATTCATAGAAATAGAAAAAAAAAGTCCTAAAATTTGTATGAAACCACAAAGACCTTAAATACCCAAAGCAAACCTGAGCAAAAACAACAAAGCCAGAAGAATTACACTAACTGAATTCAAAATATAATAACCATGCCCAAACAGCATGGTACTGGCATAAAAGCATACACATAGATCAATGTAACAGAAATAAATCCACACATTTACAGCCAACACATTTTTGACAAAAGTGCCCAAGAACATACACTGGGGAAAGGACAGTCTCTTCAATAACTGGTGCTGGAAAAACTGAATATCCATATGCAGAAGAATGCAACTAGATCCCTCTCTCTCACTATATTCCAAAATCAATTCAAAATTGATTAAGACTTAAATGTAAGACCTGAAACTATGAAATGACTAGGAGAAAACTTTGGAAAATTACTTCAATTACTTTATTGGTCTGAGCAATGACTTTTTGGGTAAAACCTCAAGATCACAGGCAGCCAAAGTGAAAATAGACAAATGAGATTACATCAAGATAAAAAGCTTTTGCACAGCAAAGGAAACAACCAACAAAGTGAAGAGATAACCTACAGATGAGAGAAAATATTTTCAAACTATCCATCTGACAAGGGATTAATAATCAGAATACATAAGGAACTCATACAACTCAATAGAAAACAAACAAATAATCCAATTTAAAAATGGGCAAATACTCTAAATAGTCCTTTCACAAAAGAAGACATATACATAACCTTAACATTTGTACCCCCATAATATGCTGAAATAAAAAAAATAAAATAAAATAAATAAAAGTGGGACACCACAAAAAATAAAAAAAGAAGACATAAATGCCCAACAGGTATATGAAAAAATGCTCAATATCACAAATCATCAGGGCAATACAAACCAAAATCACTTGAGATATCATCTCACCCAAGTTAGAATGGCTATTATCAAAGAGACAAAACATAAATGCTGGTGAGGATAAAGAGAACAGGAAATGTTCATACACTGTTGGTGGAAATGTAAATTAGGATAGCCACTATGAAAAACACTATGGTTCTTCAAAAAACTAAAAATAAATCAATCATATGATCTTCTGAGCATATATCCAAAAGAAAAGAAAGCAGTATATCAAAGAGATATTTGCACTTCCATGTTTATTGCAGCGCTGTTCACAATAAGAATGAAACAGAATCAACCTAAGTGTCCAACAGTGGATGGATAAAGAGAATGTGGTACATATACACAATGGAATATTATTCAGCCATAAAACATAATGAAATCTTGTCATGTCCAGCAACTCGGACGGA